TCTGATAGTATTTGCTAAGTTTTTTATCTAAATTATTTTATGTTATCAGTTATTTAAATTAGTTTGGAATAAAGTATCCACCTGAAGAACAGAAATCAGGCGAGTAGTCTGTCATTATTATAATTAGAATAACATTTTTTTTTATGTATATAAGAATAAAAATATGCAGATTACTATCTCAGAATTGATAATAAAAACATGTTTTTGGTTGGTATATTATACCTGCTTTATTTGGAGTACTTTTGGGTGCTGATGGTGACACAGTGGTTAAAGCGCTCAGCCGCCAACTGAATAGTCGGCAGTTGGAACCCACCAGCCACTCTGAGAACGGTGTGGCAGTCTGCTTCGGTAAAGATTTACAGCCTTGGAGGCACTATGGGGCAATTCTACTCTGTCCTATGGGGTTGCTAGGAGTTGGAATCGACTCGACGGCAGTGGGGTTTTTTTTTTTTTTGGTTTAGGAGATTTTCTTCCATCCTACAACAGAAAGGAGAAATACTTTCCAAACCTGATTTGGTTTTAGATTTTTATGTTCTTGAAGATAGCCATGACAGTGTTTTATTTTTGCATTTTTAATGTTTGAGTGAAAACATTACTTGTGACATCAAACTTTGTGACCTTCAGATTAATCAGAAAATCCCTATTGAATCAGTGATGAGTGTAGTAAATGCTGTAAAATTAGTTTTTGGCTAACTAGAATTACACCATTAATTGAGGTCTGTGGTAAGCTGAATGTTGTTAAATTGATCAAAATTAAGTCAGTTTTTAGTAAAGTGGTAAAAATATCACAAGACTAAGAAGCATGGGTTTGATTGCAAAACATAATTTCGCTTAATACTTGTTATAGTGAAACACAATTTTTTGGAATATTGATTAGTATAGTTACCACTATGCATGTAGTTTGGAGCTTTGGTGTCGTAGTGGTTAAGCATTTGGCTGCTATCCAAAAGATCAGCAGTTTGAATCCACCAGCCCCTCCTTGGAATCCCTATGTAGCAGTTTTACTCTGTCCTATAGAGTCACTATGAGTCGGAGTCAACTTGACGGCGATGGGTTTGGTTTTTTTTTTTTGGTTTTTATGCATGTAGTTTAAGCAAAAGATACCATATCTCCTATTTTGTATAGTATTATAATTGTTAATTAACTAAATATTATTCAGGCTCTTGAGAAGATATATTTAAGCAGTTCTTTCAAACTCTTTGCCCTTCTGAAGGACTCAGTCTCCTCCTGCCCCTTGTACCTCATTCTCAGCAGATGTTCTCTCTTCCCATTTCACAGAATGTGAGCACTCCCTCATTTTCTTTTTTTCGTCACAGATTCTCGACCACTTCCCTTATATTACAGTGGAAAAGGCATCCTGTTTTCTGACAAACGAATCCCTCAACCCATGTTCTTATCTCTTCCCCTTTTACCTTCTCTTCCTCTTACCGTCTCATGGATCTTATATATCGGTTATTCCACCTCTTTCTTATATTTTCAGCCTATTTCTGCCGTTTTTTTTTCCTGTTTGTGTTTTAACGGGCTCAAATCTTTATATCGATACATATGCATATGTAATAGAAGCAAGTTGAGCATTCTACTCCTTTCTTCTTTTTCTTCTCAGCCAGACTTTTTAAAACAGTTGTTTATATTCTCTCTAATTCTTTCCTTCCTAGCAATCTGTGTTTCAACAAACCTTCCAAATTATTTTGATGCCTGCTGAAGTTTCAGAACCACTGCCTTAGTTTATACTTGTAGGTAAATCAAGAAAATCACTATTATTGCTGTAAATTTAACGTTTAGAGGACTGCTAGATAGCTTCACTTTACACAGACATTGAGGAATCAGCGTTTGATTGAGTGAGGTTGTGTTTAAAACTAGAAACAGTCATTGGTAGATTAATTAGTTAGGATTAGGTTTGGCTGTGACTGACAGAAATTCCAAAGTAGCAGTGGCTTAAAAAGATACATGCTTTCAGACTTGAAAGCAGGGATTCAGGTATGTTGTAAACCAATGTTCATTGCAGCATTATGTACAATACCCAAAAGGTGGAAACACATAAGTGTCCATCAGCAGATGAGTGGATAAACAAAAAATGGTATATGCATACAATGAAATATTCAGCTATAAAGAGAAATGAAATTCTAGTACATACTCTATAGACAAACCTTGAAAACATTATGCTGAGTGAAATAAGTCAGACACAAAAGGACAAATGTTGTATGATCCCATTTATATGAAATGAATAGGCAAATGAATAGAGACAGACATGTATTAGTGGTCACTAGTGGGGAGGCCTGGTGGTGCAGTGGTTAAGAGCTCGACTGCTAACTGAAAAGTTGGCGGTTCGAATCCACCAGCTGCTCGTTGGAAACACTATGGGGCCGTTTTACTCTGTCTTATAGTGTTGCTATGAGTCAGAATCGACTTGACGGCAGCAGGTTGGGTTTTGGTTTGGTTTAGGGATGGAGAGGGCTAATGGAATGGGAGTTATTGCTGAAGGAGTACCGAGTTTCTTTTTTTGGGGTGATGTCAAACTGGGGATGTATAGTGGTGAGGATAGTGGAACATTGTGAATGTAATTAATGTCACTGAATTGTACACTTAAGAATGGCTAAAATAGCAAGCTTTTTTTACATATATTTTGCCATAAAAAAGAAATAGAAGCTTTACTTCTCTCATATAAGCATAGGCAATCCAGGTTTTAGGTGACAACAATCACCAAGGGCCTAGGCTCTTTTTCTCTTGTTGCTTTACCATCCTGAATACTAAGTTTCTACTTCATGGTTCAGTTTGACTGCTATAGCTATGATCCTTTCTGCATTCTACTCAGTAGGAGAAAAGAGAAGTCATCCTCTCTTCTTTGAAAGAAGCTTCCCAAGAGTTGCCCAAAACTTTAAATGAATTGACCAGAATTTAGACCCGGGCCATACCCAGCTGTAAGGAAGACAGGGAAATAAAATTTTTAATTTCAGGTAGCTGTGTGCTCTGATGTAATTAATGGATTCCACTACTGTAGAGAAAGGAAAGAACATGTATGGGGTGGGCGTTGGGGGGCGATAACTAACAGCCTCTGCCACAGTAAACTCTTGGGAGCTTTTGTTGGCCCAGTCATTAAACACTATTGAATGCTTATTGTAAGTACAGGAAGACCCTGGGTTACAAACTAGGAACGTCTGACTTACATACAACCTGTAGTTACAAATTAACCCCCGTAAATTTGAGGTAATACAATGATTTGTAATAACAAACTGACGCTACTTTGTGACGTGCATCAAAACATTATTATTAGTGTATTATTATGTTAAAGATGTTTTAGTATATCTGGAAGTGTTTCTTTAATTTTTTTATGCATACAAAGGTACATTATATACTGTATACTAAGACAAATATTTCACTGTCTGATGTTAGACATGAATCGGACCTAACTGTTCCTACTTAACGTACAAATTCAACTTAAAGATAGATTTAGGAATGGAACTCGTTTGTAATCTGGGGACTGCCTATACTGTACTATCTTATGTTAGTTGTGGGGGAATGAGGAAGATTGGAAGGGGGAACAGAATTACAAAAATTAAAACCTAATTCTTGGTTTTCGAAGTGGTTACATTCACTGGAGGAGGTCAGTCGTACATACGTAAGTTTACAGAGCAATGCAAGAGTCAGAGAGTGTAAGTAGAGAGAGATCAGACTCATGTGGGGTTTATCTCAGAGGAAAGGATTCCTAATGGACTAGAGTTTTGGGAAGACAGGTTTGGTGAAGAGAATTGACATGCTTTTGGATAAATGGAGTTCTTTGTATGAGGTATCAATCACTGTTTAATATTCTTACTACCTAACAAGAGTCTTCAGGATTGATTTCCAATCTACAACTGAGAAAGGAATTGTAATAAGCCGCCCTATGAGAAATATCTATTGGGTAGGAGTATAATCTTAATATTTTAATAATATTAGTATATAATAAGTAATATCCTTGTTAATGTATTTATTTATCTTAATTTACATTTGACTGCTACTTACAATAGTTTCTTCAGTTTCAAAATAGATAAGTTTTGTTTTCTAATTTGTATGTGATAAATTAGAACCATAGTAACCTAGGACCTCCGCAGTTGAATATGTTTATAGAAAGAGCATATGTAAATCTTGTGGGTGGAGAAAAAGAATTAGCCAAGAAGTAACAGCAAAAAGAACAAGAGGCGTAAGCTTTGAGCATTATATATTTTCCCAGGCAGAAGGCATATGGGTTTCGCAAAGAGTTCACTTGTGTTTTAGAAATATTCAAAAGTGAATTAGTGTGATTTGGTAAATACAGTTTTGTATTTTTTTCGCTTAATATTGTAATGTGGACATTTTTCCTTGCCATAAAAAATTCCTCAAAAATATGATTTTAAAAGACTACATAACATTTCATGATTTGGATTTACCATAAACGAATTTACCTGTTCCCTTATTGCTGGATATTTACGTTGCTCATATAATGTTCGTTAGTATAAAAAAAGTGAGAATGAACAATTTTAAGCCTTAAAAAAATGAATTAGCATAGAAATGACAGTTTAGGATAATGAGTATTATACTAGAGAGAATGCTGAAGTAGCAGAATAACATTTTGAGAGTTCTTCCCCTGACAAGAGAAAGACAGTGATCCTGGGAAGAATAGTGGAATTAAACAATAGCTTATAAAATTTGGGCTTTAGTGATCTGTTAAAGAAACCGAAAGCAATATACAGTGTCACTGACTTACATAAACTAATAAGGTAAAAGAAGCATGGATGATTTACATTTTCTTTCTTAAGCTTGATAAATGCTTTAAATTTTTATTTATTATTTGTGTCTATGTCATATCGATTTTTACTATTAACATGACATTTTGCATTTGTTTGGAAAATACTTTAAATTGATTTATTCTTCCTCAGTAGTGTTACTGTATCAAACATTACTTTAGGGGGAAAAAAAAGAAAAAAAGTTGTGTTCAAATATGCATATGTTTTCACTAGGCTTAATTGTACTTCTCTTGATTTCAGGCTTTTTTGCAAATGTGTAATCTGCCTATCAAAGTGGTTTGTAGGTCAAATGCAGAATACATGTCTCCATCTGGTAAGTGTGATTTTTTTTTTCTTCTCTGTTAATATTCTGCATTGATAAAATTAGTGATAGTCCAGTTTGTACCCAGATAATAAAAATGCTTATTTTTTTTTTAACCTTTTGAGTTTTAACCTTTTGAGTTTTATGAAGTACCAGTTGCAGACTTGCCAGTCTTGGAATGGCTTTATCTACTCATTTCAACTCTGTGGTCAGAGATGATTATTGGAATGTTACAGGGATTATTTTAAATAACAAATATTAAGGAAATGCATGACCTCTGATTTCCCCAGTCTTTCTTATGTAACACCATTTCCTTGTCAGAAAATAAATTTTAATATTAATAAATCCATTATTCTTTACATTTCACTAAATTATATTCTCCCATTATAGAGATGGAAAAAGAGAGATTGTGGAATAATTAAATTGGCTTGTCATAGATCTGAGTAAAAGTCATTACTGAAAGTTTTTGTTTCTACCTTTTTTCCCTAATGCTTTATTTCAACAGGTTTTAAGATACTTTTTATTAAAGTTTCAGCTTTTCTGCTATTTTTTATAACTAGTGTTGCCTTTTCTGCAATGTCATGTGTTCGTAGATTAAAGCACCATTTTAAATAAATATGATTAAAATAACTTTTAGCATAAGAATATAGTGCCACAAAGCTGATAATTTAAATATTAAATATACTTGTTATGGATTAATTATGGTTTTGATGGAGCAGTAATAACACATAAAACCACTTCTTTATGAGTAAATCCATTGGGTATAACCATTTGTCATAAATGTGTTACATTGTTTTTTAAGAAGATACTTACCTCTGCATTGGTTAAACATTTTTTTTAAATCTTAAGTTGTTAACAGTGGTAATAAATTGTTGAAAGTTGTAAAAACATGCTCCCCATACACACTGAAAATTTTATATGAATACATCTACATTTATAGGTTTATGAATATACATTTAAAAAATTTCCATAAAAGAATTTCTAGACTTATAAGCCTAAACAGATTTTAGATTTTTTGTAGACTATTCATTGACTCACTTTGTGCTGATATTATATGTAAGTTTTTATAAACTTCACTGAATTCTGGCCAAACAAATTATATTGCTTTCTGTCCATCTTTCTCCTCTATGTAGTTATACAAAAAAGAGTTTGTGTATATACATATAAAAAGGTCAGTAAGCTAATACTAAAGTTAAAATCTTTGGCAAATGAGGATAAGCCATATAGTTCATCCGTTTCCCAAAATGACTATACTTAGTATCGCCTAGGTAGTTATCTACTTTCTTTTTATAGACTCAGTGAAAGACAAACAGATAAATATTACAGAGATATACATACATACAGTTATAGGAGGAGTCCCCTGTAGGTAGATGAAAATGGCGCTTTCTAGTAAGATATTTAAATTTCATCGCATCTCAAATTATTATTCCCTTTCATCATGATTTTTGATAATCAAGGGAACATTTTTTACTTTATTTGCCACATTTGATCTTGTAGATTTTTAAAGGAGAGAGTAACATGGAGTAGTGAAAAGACTACTTGGCTAAGTGGAAGTATTTACTCTAATCCTTCTGTGACTGTCACATATTAACTATTTCCTTGGGATTTTTTTTTCCCTCTGAGCCTCAGAGAGTACATCTGTAATATGAGGTGGTTGGATTAGATGACATCCAAGGCCCATTCTCTGAATCTACAAACTTGCTTGGCAACATGTTCTTGCTTTTGTTAGAAGTAAAATTTCTAAAAATGATTTTTCTGCCTGAAATGAAAAAATGGGGTCCCCTCAGTTTCTTTTATAGTAAAAATGACCTTTGATTGGTGCCAGAGAATAACTGTCTCACTGTGCTTTTGCCTGATACTTGCAATAATAAAGATATAACATTGGTTTCATTTTAAGTCAGGTTAGTAACAGAAAACATTATTATTCATTTCTAATTTGTTATTTTTTTGTATATTTTTGTATATATTTATATAAATATGTTTATATTTATTTTTGTATATTTCCTTGTATTTAGAGATATATTAGATGCATACTCATTGACTACTCACGTTGCTTCCCTGCTTTAGAATCTAAAATGCTCAATATGTTTTTAAGAAAAAAAGTTTCTTCAAAGCACTCAAACTATATATTAAAAATGAGAAATAAACTTGCTCTAAAAATGTCATACCCCCAAAATACTCTTCAGTCTATGCACTCATTCAAGACAAGCTTTCATTCTCAGATTATTTTATTCCGGAGAGCTGGCACTGTTTATAACATAGTAGTAGTTATAAGATTTATAAAGAGATAGAAGAAAGGAATGCAGAATTCAGTGCTCTTACATTGATAACATGGAACTATCTTCTAAATACTTCTACTGAATTGTGTTCGGAAAGGCCTGCCTTTCCTTTGTAATGTGTGTTATCCTGTGGATGCAGATGAAGCTTTTGTTGGTGCTGTGTACCTCATCCATTACCCTTAGGCTGCCTGAGTCAGAGAGGAGTGAATCTATTGAAAAGGAGCATGAAGAAGCCTGCTGTTAGTGTGAACTCTGTTTGAACTAGGTCTGACAGCAGGTTTCATCTTCTGGCATTTGGAATAGACCCTCTTGCTATTTGGAGACTATTTTGTTCTCATCACCTCTGATAATTTCATCAAATAATTAGTATACATTAAAATGAGATGTTAATTTTTTAATGTGGCATTTATTTAAAGAAGCCAACTTTTATAAGCATATTACATGTTCTTTTTTCCCCATGTGTGTTGAGAACATACTTTGTGTTATTAACTCACAAACTAGCATAACTTCAAGGATTGTTAATGCTCCTAATTCCTGATATTTTTGAGCCAAAGACATTTATTAATGTACCAGTATATGCTTAAAGTATTGACCTTAATGGGAATCAGATATTTAAAATTAGAAGACATAAAAAGAGAAAGTTTCTTAAATGTAGTTTAAAATGCAGGTTGATTCATTGTACTCTGAAGAGAAAGCCCAGTTAAATTTCTTTGATATTTTTATCAGTGGTCATGAACCAATGTTCTAGTTTAGTAATTTGGATAATTAGTACTTATTGTTTCGAAGTGTTTTGCTAGTGTTTCTGAAAAAGGGAATATTGCGATCTGTTGGTATATCCAAGTGAAAAACTCAAGAAATGAATCTACTTTTTCTGTTTTCTTTTGTTTTAAAATTAGTAACCAGTGTTTAAAAATTTATAGAACTTAACACACATTTTAATACAATTTTCAAAAGTTAAGTTTAATGAAATCTCTGTATTGATAAAATATATCCCAGTTTTATGTTAATTTCCTTTTGTTAGCATAATTTACCAAGTGTTTTCATGCATTTTTTTTTTTCCTCAACAGGTAAAGTTCCTTTTATTCATGTGGGAAATCAAGTAGTATCAGAACTTGGTCCAATAGTCCAATTCGTTAAAGCTAAGGTAATAAAATAGATACTAAATAGATTTGATCACAATGACTCTTAAATAAGCCATTCATCATTATGTAGTGTTTTAACATTTACATTGATTTTAACCTAGTTTTATAAAATGCCGACATAAACTACTAGAGAAATAATTCTACAAGTTTTTTTTTTCCTCATAATGTAAATCAGTGGCACAAGAGGTAGCTTGATCTTTCCAAAATGATAGATAATTTTCTGACTTTTGGTCATAAATGAAAACTGTTAGATTTTTGTAAAATGTCAGATTAGCCCTTGAGAAGGAGATAGGATATGTTTAAAGTTGAGTGTGCCAGTTTATCCATTTGATTATTCTACTTTTCATTTATTCAGTTTAGATTTTCATAGTTATCTAAGGACCACCACCATGAACATTTTGGGAGCAATCCTTCCAAAACCACCTCTGTGCATATATAGAAAATATAGACATACTATTATGTATTATTTTGCAACCTGCCTTTTAAAATCGTCAATATGTTTGGAAATTTTCCTACGTTAATGACTTAGTTATATATCATACTTTTAAATTGCTGTGTGGTATTTTGTTGTATGGGTGTGTTGTAATTTACTTATTTAAGACTTTACTGATAGGCATTTAGGCTGTTGCCAATTTTTTGCTCTTACAAGGAGTACTAAGTATTCTTGTACATAAACATTTGCACATTTGTCTGATTATCTCCTTAGGATAAATTACTAACAGTGATATTACAGTGTCATAATGTATGTACTTTTAAAATCTTACATCTGATTGCTGGATTGAATTAAAGGTTATATTTTTTATGCATCTACCAGTTACTGTAGTGTATTGTTAGTTGCTGTTGAGTTGATTCTGAATTCTGTTTCCCTGTACCTTTACTGACACTATTTTTTTCATCATTGAACACTTTATAAGCAATACATGTTAATATTTTAGCATTTCTTTTATTATAAATAAGCGTAGTCTCTTAAAAAAACAAGGTTTAATGACCGTTCTGTTTTTTCTTTTATGAAATAATTGTTTATGTAATTTTGTCCACTGAAAGATACATTTTTATTATGAAAAATAAATACTAATAATGAATATTTTGTAATGATAGCAGAATATTAAATATGCCTTCATATAAAATAATTTTGTTTTAGGATCAATTTTGGAAATTAATCCATTGGACACCCTAGTAGGAAAATTGATGTTATATTACTTGGCAGTAAGATAACTGAAAGTTTTTGTATATTTAATATGATGCTCTTTTAAATTTTTTTAAATTCTCTTTAGGGCCATTCGCTTAGTGATGGGCTGGATGAAGTCCAAAAAGCAGAAATGAAAGCCTACATGGAATTAGTCAACAATATGCTGCTGACTGCAGAGGTAAAATACAAGATAATAAGGCTTGAAAGTAAGCTTTTCCCCCCATAAAATATAATCTTTCTTATGTATTGTTTTGAAGTTATTGAGAAATTAAAAAAAAAAATAGTGAAGCACTTGTAGGGCTAAGCTGGTTGTCCACATCATTTGATCGTTATCTTTGAACAAATTCCCTGACATTTTCAGTTCTAGTTTCTCTGTTTATAAAAAGGGATGATTCTTGCCCACTCACTATTTTACTTCAGCCTTCTGAAGTTTACTTAAATAATATCTATAAAATACTTTAATGGTATTTAGAGATACACAGTATGAATAAGAAATTTTATTTTTATAAAGTATTATCATTAAGTTTAATGATTCTCTATAGCAATATTAGCCAAGGGGGGAAAAACTCTCATATGTGACTTTTATAAAGTTGAATTATAAAAAATTACTATGGCAAGAAATAACTTGATTTATGCATTTTTCTCTTTAGTATTCTAAAGTTTTAGTGACTGTTCTTTTGTTCCTAGTTGTATCTTCAGTGGTGCGATGAAGCTACAGTAGGGGAGGTGAGTGGTTCTGCAGCATTTATCTTAATTAAAATTTAATGAGAAAACACTTTTGCTCAGAATCGCAAGTCCCTGCTCATAAATGAAACATTGTGGTTTATACCATTAGTGATATAGTTTTTCACTTACTTTAATTTTGCTTGCACATACATTTTAGGGAAGTTATGTGTCATTGTTTGATACAACTGGTTGCAGAGTACATAAAAGTTTATATAATTTTAAAGCAAATGGTTTAAAATTTTAATTTTTTAGACTGCAAGGTATGTATTTTCTTCAGATTGTTCTATTTCTGTTCTCTGAAAATATATTTCCCTTGGAATTTTATTTGTAAAAACAGCCTTTGTTTTTAGGAAGAACCATGTTTTTAACAGAATCTTTTTGCTTCAGATTACTTATGCTAGGTATGGATCCCCTTACCCTTGGCCTCTGAATCACATTTTGGCCTATCAGAAACAGTGGAAAGTCAAACGTAAGATGAAAGCTATTGGATGGGGTAACAAGACTCTGGACCAGGTCAGTTCAGGTTGAAGTTGACAAAACCCTCAACTATTATGCATTAAAAAAAATTTATTCTTTGAGTTGATATTCCTTTAAAAAAATTCCTACGTAATAAAAAATTAGCAAAACATTTGCTAATTATTCTCTCTAACATGATGTACTTATTGTATAATTCATTTTATAAAAATCACACATGCTTAATATAAAAAATGTATATAATACAGAAACGTTTAAAAAGGATACGAAAACTGCCCGAAATTCTACCACCTAAAAATTGCCACTGTTAACAACTTGGAGAACATTTCTCCTAGATGTGTCTTAATAACATTTTCCTTAAATGGGGTCATATTATACCTGCTACTCTATAATCTATACATTGTGGGCATCTTTTATGTCAATAAATATAGATCTGCAGCATCAGGGCTTAAAAAAACACACTCAGAGCTTAGTATATGTATTTTTCTTTGGTCCTAAATTCACTGAAGTAGCAAAATGTAAAAAATGTTTATCTTATCAAGGTCATGAGTTTGAGCATCACTAACTAATTAATCTCTCTTTTTCCCAAATCCTAGCCAGCCATCTCACTGATGTGCGCCATTGGCCACAAGGTGGATTGAGTAAATGAATAGGGATGGAGTAAATAAAATCCATCACTACTAGTGGGAAAACAAGTCAAATGCTTTTATTCATGGGGGGTCAGCAGTGTCATCCCTATGAAGCAGATTATTTTATATGTGCAAAGTCATTTGAATATATGGATTAAGGAAAACATTTCTGCAGGGAGTGAAGTTTTGAGAGAAAAACTTTCTCAGTGATAATCCTTATATTGTAACTTAAACTTGCATTTAAAGGAAATTCGCTCTTAATTTTTCTTCCTGTTTCTCATATAAAAAGTATTACTATGCTATATACATAGTCTATAGTCTGATTAAATATATTATAAAAAAAAAAACCTAACCCAAATCCGTTGCTCTTGAGTTGATTCCAGCTCATAGTGACCCTGTAGGACAGAGTAGAACTGCCCTATAGGGTTTCCAAGGAGCGGCTTGGTGGATTCGAACTGCCAACCTTTTGGTTAGCAGCTGAGCTCTTAACCACTGTGCCACTAGGGCTCTGTATATTATAAAAGGTTAATTTATGTTTTTGTTATAAAATGTGATGTAAATTAAGTTTTAGACACCTTTTATTGTTTTGGTCATAAACATATTTTTCTTTGGGGTCTGTTGCCTATGTTAGGTCTTAGAAGATGTAGACCAGTGCTGTCAAGCTCTTTCTCAAAGACTGGGAACACAACCATATTTCTTCAATAAGCAGTAAGAAATTTTATTTTTTATATATTTTTAGGTTTAAAATTTCTTTCATAATAGAGAATTGTTTTTTCTTTTCCTCAAGAAGAGACCATTGATAAACAGCCGAATTATCATGTTTTAATATTATTTTTCATATAGCCTAATAAATTAGATAAATAATATATAAAACTGAGTTATGATGTTTCAAGGAATATTTATTATTTTTGAAAAGATTTAGTTTTTTAAAATTTATGTTTGCACTCATCAAACATTTATTGGCACTTCTTGTGTGTCTGCCATAGTGCTAGGCTCTGGGAGACCAAGATTTCTCAATTGCAGTCCTCGCCTAGGAATTTCTCTTAAGAGCAGATATGTATACCAGTCATTATTGCATAATATGGTAAAGTTCTAATAAAGGTAATTCGAGGTACTATGTAACAGAACTATGAAATCGTAACAAGATTCTAAACTTGTAACTATTAAAACGTGAAGATGCTACTAGTGTAACCATAGGTGTCTATGTAGGGTGATACCTAGGGGACTAGAAAAGTGAATAAAACTAAACAAAGAATATTGTTGGGTGGACATGCACTGTTATGAACTTGTTTATCTCTTAAAGATTAATGAAAATATTTGTAAAGCAGAGAAATGAATATAAAGGATATAGGTTAAATATATGTGTATATATATGTAAACTGAGGAATTCATGTTTCATTAATATAGAATATTTTTACAACCTGAAAAGAATCTCTAATGTAGGTAAAAATGAATTTTCCTCTTCTACAAACATTTTTTACAATTTTAATATATCAGAATCAGCTATCCTGTGATCCACTTTAAGATGAGCTTAAATTAGCATTTTAATCTCAATGGCTTACTTAGAAATTCTAACCTTTTCTTGGCTTTTTAGTAAAAATTTCTGGTTTTTTAGATTGCAAATAATTTTTTAAAAGGTTTATTAGTAATTATTTTATCTTCAAAAGTATTCGTATTCTATAGCCATATGAAATATCTTTCAGTAGAGATTTGATAATTTGTATGATAATTTGATTTGCTAAAAATGACCACGATGATAGCTTGGAAATATTTAAATTATATTACTCTATAGCATAAGTAATGTATATTATATATACCTGATATTAAATGAAAAACTGAGGTCCACTGATTTCTGAAGCAGAAAGGTCACAAAAGTTCAAACCATGAAATCCTGGTAGGTAAAGCCTCTACAGCTGTGTTGCTGGTGATGTTTGCTATGCAGTTTTTTTCTACTTGTTTAGTCCCTAACACAAAAGAAATGTATCCAAATGTTAGTATTATGTAGTTCTTTTTCTTTCTGATATGGGAATTCCTTGGAGTTGAAAAGCTCAGAAGGGGTGTGTTTTATTGTTTGAAGTGAATCATTCTGTTTTAAGAGTTGGTTTTGTTATGCACGCTGTCTTCAGGGAAGCCCAGGAGAATAGATCTAACTTACTTTTCTCCTCATTTAAACCCAGTGGCAAAGAGTTAGTAACCAGGGATCATTTGGCCTCCAATTCAGTGGAGCGATCAAGATAACTTTTTTCTTCGTAAGAGAATAATTATATTTAAACTTATAATGAAAAATTCAGAGTTTAGAACATGTACAAAACCAAAGGCTTACTTTTGAGGAACTGCTTATATAATATTAAGGTGTAGGTTTTGAAATAATTTTACTTTATCTGAAGCTTAAACAGATAAACATTTTCCCCTAACAAGTAATTATGGTTGAAGAATGGAATAGACTTAATCTTCAATTTTAATTTTATCCAATTACTTACTTAATATTAGAATACAAGTAAACTACATTTAAGAAAAAGTAACCTGTATTTTCACTTTGTCGTGGCAAAATTTTTTTCTCATTCTTTTATTTATAAACCAAACCCACTGTCATCAAGTGGTGTCGTGGCAAAATTTTTTTCTCATTCTTTTATTTATAAACCAAACCCACTGTCATCAAGTGGATTCTGACCCAGAGTGGCCCTGTAGACAGGGTAGAACTTCCCTATAGGGCTTCCAAGGCTGTAAATCTTTATGGAAGCAGACTGCCACATCTTTCTTCTGTGGAGCAGCTAGTGGGTTCGCAGCTGAGCGCCTTAACCACTGCACCACCAGGGATCCCTCCTTTATGTATAGCAGGTGTCATTACGTTGTGAGACACTATAGCTTAGTGCATAGAGCACTTGCTTAAGTCAAGATATATGATATTGGACTGTCAAGTCAGGGCCCTGAATTCTAGCCTTAGCTCTAACTGATACTGAACTTGGGCAGATTATTTTATTTTCCTGTGTATCCCCCATGCCCTGCTCCCCTCAATAAAATTAGAATCAGCTTTTCTCACAGCTTACCTACTGGGGATGTTGAGAGGATTCATGCAAGAAACCAAATGGCTTTAATCGATGAGAGAAAGGAAAAGGGTAGCTAAGGGAAACCTTGGAGCAACAATAGTAATTGAGACAAGCGAACCAAGAAGGTAAATTGTGAGGAGGAAAAAGGTAAGTGAATTGGAAAAAAAAAATCAGAAATAATACAAGATAGATAGTAACATTAGTGACGTTTTTAACCTTCATAATATATAATATTGAATATTTAAATTTTAAGACATAATTTTGAAACAAAATCTGTACTATCAGTTGCACCTGTGCTATCTTGCTTATGTGATATCTGTTAAGACATCTACACAAAGACTACTAGGGCATTTATTCCCACTCAGGTGGTGAATGTGGACTTGGAATGATAAAACTAAAATTTTTCTTAAAGTGATCTTTTTATGTTATCATTTTAATAAAGGAGAATAAAGAATATAAAATTTTTTTTTTTCCTAAATGTAATAAGGATAGAAAGAGTTGTATTATTTTAAAGCATTTATGAGCTCTTTGGAGATTGGATGCTTTCCAAACAAACTTGTTATCTAGAAGAAGCTCAGTAAATGTTGGTTAAACTAGATTAAATTGAATGAGAAATTGGAGAAAGAGTTAGACTTGAAAAAGAAAAAAATACTGTTCATAACCATTAAGTAAAGGGCAAAATTTGAAGATATATGCTTGTATGCTAATAGGAGAGCATATTGAGGAAATGGTGCAAAAAATAAAATCTGGGATCTTAAGATGGAAAATTTCAAGGAGGAATAGGATTTTATTAAAGTCTGTTCAGTTAAGAAACCAACAGTTAAGAAAAACAAGAGAAAATCACTCAAAAATATTCTAAGGCAAAATACAGAAAAAAAGTTGATGGTAAGGAGCTTGGTTTACAGACTTGAATGACAGTCCTAAAGGATAGTGATTGATATATAAGGGAAAGGACATGTAGATTAGATATAATAGTGAAGAGATGATAAGTTAATAGTGTATTGGCAAAGAAAAATTAGGGAACAGCCAGACAAAATTAATGTTTTTTATACTAGACTGATAGTATGAAAGGTATCAGAAAGGAAGAAAGATGAAATCATACTGAATAAAGAAAGCAAAAACGATGAGTGCCAAAAAATTTAAAATGAGAAAGGTTGGGAAAACACATTTTGCACTACAGTTTTTATTTTGATATTCAAATGAAAAAACAGTAGATAACCAACAGAAATGTGGAAAGAATAATAATACAAGATGAGATCTCGACAAATTTCTTAGGGCTTTAAAAATATATTTATATGTCACCCTGGGATATTTTTCTAATAAAAAGTTTATAAAGATAAATGAGACAATATATATGAAAGATCTTAGAGTTCTTGGGAGAATTGCTATATATATCCAAATTATAATTCACAAAGTAGTAAGCAGAAGAGTGGAAAGTTATGTTTTCATATGGTGTAAGAAAGCTAATTAAAACCAGTGGTATTTGTAGATCTTGGCTTGATTAAACAATTCAGTAGAAATACTGCGTAAAGTGTGTGTTTTTGTTGCTGTTGAAGTGTTTCTTATGTGAGTTTTTCCAAGTTTGTTGCTTGTCCTTTTTAATTTCAAGTCAGGTTTAATTTGGTATAATTTACATATAGTAAATTGACACTTTTTGTTGTATGGTTCTAATGAATTTTAACAAAGATATATAGTCATGTAACCGCTATCACAAAGTCTGTTTTTTAAAATGAAAGAATTATGGGAATTACTAATTTATATATGTCAGAATCAATTAAAATATAAGCAGTTGCTGAACTTTGTAAGGATTATGTGAAAAAAATATTGGTTAAAAGTTATGTGTATGAATGTCACTGAATTGTACACTTAAAAAAGGTTAAAATGGCAAATGTTTTGTTAAATATATTTTACCACAATAAAAAAGGGAATAAATACCCAAAACTCAAAAGTGATGTATATTTATGTATTTATATTTGTGTGTGTGTATATATATGTGTGTGTGTATTGTTTAATTTAGTACATTGTATTTTATTTCCTGTTAGATGTTCTAAAGTAGCTTGCCACAAAGTTGCTAGCTTTATTTAACATCAGATTAATTTTTGTATGCTCATGCCTGTATATAATCCAGCACCTTTGGAGTTATGTGAATGCATATCTGTAGGAAATAACATTTTGATCATTTCAGGGGTACTTTTAAACCACTCTAATTTGAACATATATTCATCCGTGAAATCAGTCAAAGCCTATACTTAGCAATAAAGGATGTCTGTCTACATTATATCAGGGAATATGGCTACCTTTTTTTAGGATCTAGTACAAAAAGCAAAGGATAGTTGGCCTTAAACAAAGATGAGGAAAATAAATTGTAATTTGATGAGGTAAGATATACCTCTTAAGAAATATGTTTAGGGATATGAAAGAGGTACTGTTTGTATTACTTCTCACAAAGTGCTTCATCTCTGTATTTACCCGCCTTTTACATCCTTGATTCTTTGCAGGGATCAGTTTGTTAATGATGATTCATCTGTGATGATAAGATCATGGTGCTCTTTAGTCCAAGGACATTTATGATCTTTTGAACTATGTAATTGGCTACCCTCTTAAACATGGCCATAGACTGTACACTTGAGTTTGATGAATACTTCATGAATCTGTCAGAAGGAGGAAGGCTTTGAAAGAACGTGCATTACTGCTTTTGAAAAAATAAAATACCGTGCACACCTTTAGTCATTCTTTTCTGTCTCACTCATTTATCTAGCAAATGCCCATTGAGTTCCTTAGCTGTTTGCTAACAACTGGGGATATGAAAATAAGTACAGTGTTTGTCCTCAAAGAACTTGAAGTGTAGTGGGGGAAATAGCTAAGTAAATAGTTACAATATGGTATGAGAAGTGTCACCTTTTTATTGATTTATTCAACACATATTTACTGAGAACTTACTTTGTGCTGGGCATTATTCTAGGTATTGGGGACACAGCAGGAAACAAGTAAATAAAATCTTTTATAGAATTTACATTCTGTTAGAGGGAGACAGATAATAAATATGATAATGTTAAGTGCCACGTGGATAATTAAAATAAGATCATGTGATAATAAGTGACTGTGTGGCCACTTTAGTTTGGGTCATCAGGGGAGGCTTCTTTAGGATGTGACATTTAAGCCTTAATCTGAAAAACAAGAAGTAGCTGAGATATGAAGTTCGGGGGAAGAGTGTTTTAGGCATCAGGAATAGTTGTTGTCAAAACCCAGAGATTGGCTTGAGCTTGTTATGTTCAAATGAAAGAAACAAGGTCAGTTTGGTTGTGTGTTGGGAGGAAGGATAGGGGAAGAATGATAGATGATTAGGTTGAAGAGGTAGGCAGGGGCCAGATCATCTAGTCTTTGTATGGTAAGAAGTTTGACATTTTAGTCTAAGTGGAATGGAAATCCATTAGAATATTTTAAATGTGGAGTAGTATGATGTGGTGATGTTAAAAAAAAAATTACTGTGGATACATAGAAGCAGAGAGACATTAGGAGGCTATTGCAGTGGTCCAGATAAGGGGTAATTGGGGCTTAGACTAGGAGATAATAATGGAGAGTGAGTAAAATGGTGGCATTCAAGGTATGTTTTGGAGGTAATGTCTCAGTGGATTTGCTGATATGGATATAGAAAGGTAAGAGAGAGGATTCAAGGTCAACTCCTGGATATGTGGTTTGAACAGCTGGGTGGATAGTGGTGCCTTTTATTTTGGTAAGATAGGAGACAGGCAGGTTTGAGATGCATTCAGCTTTCAAGAGAAGATGTCCTGTAGACATTTGAATGTATTAGTCTGGAGCTCAAGGGAGAGACTGGGACTAGAGATAAGTATTTGGGAACTAGTGGCATGAAGATGATATTTAAAGCCTTGCAACTGCATGAGGTCATTCATTAATAGTTTTTAAGGACACATACCTAGTAATTGGCAAAGTTAGGACTCAGACTTCAATTTGACTGATGCCAAAATCTGTTCTCTTTTCATCAAACCACATTACCCCAACATATTTTCATATTTAGGTAGACTAAATATTTTCTCAAAAACTCTCATTATAGGACTGAGAGCAATAATTAGTTCATACTTAGGATGTTATTTTCTTCTTTTAGTAATGTTGTACTAGTAATTATTTTATTATAATGTAGATTGGTAATGGAGCCCTGGTGGTGCAGTGGTTAAGAACTTGGCTGTTAACCAAAAGGTTGGTAATTCGAATCCACCAGCCTGTAAAAAACGATATGGGGGTGACGTCTGACCTCCTCTGACTTCACAAGGGGGAAGGAGAATCAAGATCAATAGCTGAAGGCTGATTCCTAGGTTAGACATGCCTCCTCTCTCCACCATCTTTACCAAGTCTGACACCAACCATCCCTCCCAGGGCACTCTCTACTTCTCTGCTGGGTTTGATAATTCATTGCAATGGCCACACAGAACTCACAATCCTCATGATTATGGAGTTTATTAGGAAAGTAGCAGGTTGTAATTCAGGCTCAGAAACACTCAAGGATACAGTTCTTCCATCAGGGCAGCTTCTTCCCAGCCGTGCTCACAGGCATGCCTCTCCCTGGCCCTAGCCCTCTGTCCAAAGGTACTCAGCTTTGTCTCTCTGTGGGCCAGGAAGCCCACCGCACCATTTCCTGCTGCCAGGTCTCTGCTGCCGGATCTCTCCTGACACTGCTCACTGTCTTCAAGGTTACAGCTTGCTCTCTCTCTCGTTCTCCCGCTTCCAGGAGATTCTCAGTGCAAAGGATCCCAGGTCCAAAGGATGCGCTCTCCGCTCCTGGTTGTTCTTAGTTGGTGGTGGTGGGTTCCTCTCTTCCCAACCTCAGGGGTGGCTCATTTCAAACCCAGCAAAATGGCAAAACTGACCAGTCCCTTTGGTGGGCCATAATTATCATATGTGCACAGTCCTGCCCAATCACCTGGGTGGGAGTTACAAGACCATGGCGACAAAGGTCACACAAAAGCAATCCATTACATCACAAGCCACTCCTTGAAAACCCTATGGGGCAGTTCTGCTCTGTCCTATAGGGTTGCTATGAGTCGGAATCAACTTGATGGCAACAGGTTGTTTTGTTTTGTTTTTGTTTTTTTTTAAGATTGGTAATGCTCCATTTATAGACCATTAGTAGTGAGGAAGATAAGTTTCATTTTTTGTTAGTAATATATAATTAAGGGGGAAAAAAATCTAAAAAATTTTTTGTTGAGGCCATCTCTGTTTTTTCAGAAAGCTAAGTTACTTTAGAAGTGGTAAAATTAAAATTAACTTACATTGTTGGGTAATCAGGTCATCTATTTGTTACCCTAGCACCACAGGGAAATCCTTGGTGCCTTGATAGAACCTTGTGCATCTGTTAAAGCACTTACTAAATCGTGTTGTGGTAATTTATGTTTTTGTGTCCACGTCTTAGAGTATCTTTCTTGAAAGTTTTTCTGTCTCTAGCATCTAGCATAGTTCCTGGCCCATTGGAGACCTGCTGTATTTATTCAGTGAGTGAATTAATAAATAAAATGAATGTTATCCATTGTACCTGTATTACTTTAACATATTTAATTGGTAATCATACAACAAAAATTTTGTTTTGAGTCATCTTAGAATAATACAACTATTTCAAAAAGCAAATCATAAAACTAGCAAATCATACTTTAAAAGATCTTTTTTCATATCTTATAATAGGAACTCTAAAATTGTATTGAGTTGGGGTAGGACTTTTTTCTTCTGTGACTTTTTTCTTTTAAATTAATGGATAAAATATTTTTTGGATATACTATATTTTCTACCATAAAAGTTAAATGCCATTCTTGATACTCTCATTTCTCTTTTTATTTTAGGCCTACTGAACTAGATGCATTGGTATTTGGGCATTTGTACACCATTCTTACCACGCAATTGACTAATGATGAACTTTCTGAGAAGGTGAAAAACTATAGCAATCTTCTTGCTTTCTGTAGAAGAATTGAACATCATTATTTTGAAGATCATGGTAGCTCATCTGTCAGGTTGTCTTAGAGTTACTTGTTAATTTAGTTATTATTAAAAAAAAATCTAACTTTTAAAATATATCTTACTTGAATGTTATAATAGATAATGGTATCAGAGTTCTAAAACCAAAAACACTGCTTTGGAAACCTCAAAACAAATTATATAATGTATCCTTTACATGTGCTTTCTACTGGTCTTTCTGTACACATTAAAGTAATTCTGAATTATTCCATTTGATATATTGTACTCTGTCTTGAAATTTTTTTCCTTGAAACATGTATGCATATAAAAAAAGTTTAAGTAACTGTATGGATGTTATATTTACTTTCTTTTGAAAATCACTCACTGAGCTTTACACATGTGGAATAAAGTGTTTTTTCAAAAGCGAATGACTTGTGTTATATATTCCAAGATTATTTTGCTAGATACATAATCTTGGGAAAAATATTCTTAACAAGTATGCGCTTAGAAAATGTGAATGTTTACATGGCTGTTAATTCCTGTAACAGATTAACATTTGAAAGCATTCTTCATATAGAAATGTAATTGGCTTAAAACATTTCATCAGAGCAGCTATAATTTACATTTAATAAAGGGATAGATTCAGAGATCTTTTTTTTTGACACAAGTTATTTTAATAATGCCATTTTATTTCTTTTGCAGGATAGGGAGGATAGTTTTCAAAGAAATACCAATGGGAATTTCTGTATATAAGCACTGATGATTATATTTTGTATTCTTCTCAGATTTTCTAATGTTTTCTTATAAAACCAAGGATGCTAAAGTCAGATGTAAAAATCATTTCTTGAAAATATCTAGAATAATAATACTTTTATATACCGAACATTAAAAAAAAAATGTTTTTATTGTGCATTAGGTGAAAGTTTACAGAGTAAATTAGTTTCCCATTGGATAGTTTGTATATAAAGCGTTTCATAACAATGGCTTCATTCCTGACAATGCGTTAGCATTCTCCCCATTTCCGTCCTAGGGTTCCCGTTTCCTTTCGTCCTGATTTTCTGTCTCTTCCTGCCTTCTCATCTTTGCTTTTGGGCAAATGTTGCCCTTTTGATCTCAAATAATTGGTCGTTCTAAGGAGCGTGTTCCTCTCAGGTGCTATTGTTTATTTTATGGGCCTGTCTATGGTTTGGCTGAAAGGTGGTCTCTGGGAATGGCTTCAGTTCCAATTCAGAAAGGTGTCTTAGAGCCATAGTCTCAAGGGTTCTTCTAGTCTCTGTCAGACCAGTAAGTCTGGTCTTTTTTTGTGAATTTGATTTTTTGTTCTACAGTTTTTCCTCTTGCTCTGCCCGGGACCCTCTATTGTGATCCCAATCAGAGCAGTCAGTGGGTAGCCATCTAGCTCTTCTGGTCTTGGGGTTGTGTAGGCTGTGGTCATGTGATCCATTAGTCTTTTGGACTAATTGCTCCCTTGAGTCTTTGGTTTTCTTCACCCTTCTTTGCTCCAGATGGTAAGACACCAATAGATGTATTTTTCTAAACATTTTAAACTAATTTAATTGTTATGAGAACACCATGAAGGTTATTATCCCCAGTTTACAAATGAGGGAATGGAGGCACAGAAATGATAACTTGCCCAAGGTCATAGAGTTAGTTAAGTGGTAGAGTTAGAATTCAAACCCAGGCAATCTGGTGTCACTTAGCTTTTAACTACTCACTGTGCTTTCTTTTAAAAAGGATTATGTATTTTTACTGTATAAAGGATATATTAGGTTCTTTTAGTCTATATCCCACGTAAATTTTGGGTACTGTCTTCAGAGTGTAGTGCTATTATAGCTTTTTTGAACTAATTTTGTACCATGTGTTGTTGTTATTAAAATCCCCAGTTATCTCTATTTTTGTATTTTTTTTATGACAGGTTTATTTGTATATTTTTGTACATTTGTATATAATTCTTCTATTTTAATATTACCATCACATTCATTTAGTTGTATAAGCACCGTTTGTACCTCAGTATATAATATCTAGACTTTTTTCTTTGAATTTTTGGATATAAAGATACTATATCAGCATGGGCTGTAATATTTTAATATTAATCATTACAACTGGCTTACCCTAATATGAGGAACATGATGAGACAGTGGTAGTTTATCCCAAGTTGAGATATTTACTCTTACTTAATACTTGCTAGACTTACTATCTATGGATTGGAGCCCTGGTAGCACAGTGGTTAAGAGTTCACGCTGCCAACGAAAAGATTGTCAGTTCAAACGCACCAGCTGCTCCTTGGAAACCCCATGGGGTAGTTCTACTCTGTTCTGTAGGGTCACTATGAGTCAGAATCAACTCGACAGCAATGGGTTTGGTTTGGTTTGGGTTTTATCTATGGATTGGAGTCCCTGGGTGGTGCAAACAGTTAAGTGCTCTACTACTAGCCGACAGGTTGGCAGTTTGAACCCACCGAGAGATGCCTTGGGAGACAGGCCTGGCACTCTACTTCCAAAAGGTCACAGCCTTGAAAACCCTGTGGAGCAGTTCTACTTTCCCCACATGGGGTCACCATGAGTCAGAATCGACAACAACTACCATATTTTTACACAAAAAACATGCGCTTTCTACATTTGTTTGTCAACCATGCCCTCTCCCCATGAGGTATTTTCAGAAGCACTGCTATACCAATTTTTTTTTTTTACATATTGCTGTAAAAAAAGACAGCATGGCATACTTATGAAAATACCTCATGCAGGGGGAGGTGGGAAAGAGGGCAAGGTTGGCAAACATGGAGAAAGTGCATTATTTGTGTAAAAATACAGCAACAAAAATATCTATGGATTACTCTTAAGAGGTCTTGTTTCTCTCCAGTGTTGAGACGAATTACCATCAAAACAGAATGCATTAGAAAATGGAAATCTTGTCATCCCATTATGGTGATTCAATTTCCTGCCTTTACCTTTTAAATTTGGGTTCATAAAGCCCAGTCACAGTAGCTAAAAATTATCACTGAAAAGTTAGCTATGTTTGTTCCCATTTACTCAGTTTGCTGACGAAAGAGCTAAATGTTGCTTTGCTGCCAAATACTTGTATATATTCTCCTTCTTAGTCAACTATTTTGTGGTGTGTCTCGGCCATTTATATCCACATACACATGAAAATCTAAATTTTATTGTGCCTTAAATAAAAGTGTGATTGTATCTGGACTGATGTAAATATTTTCCTAATCTATTTTCGATTTCCTAAGAATGTATTTTAATTCTTTATAGCTTTAGTATTTATTGTCATGGGATCAGATTGCTATCTGTAATTTTTTTTTTTTTTTACATTTTCAACAAATTAGATAATCTAATTTGTGATAAGACTATGAAAATCTCTTTAGCTTACTTAAGGGTGTCTTACTTGAATGCTTTTGAAACTCAGCATGGTTGCCATCCAGAGTGTGATTTCATGTTCATTATGTAATTGAAAACTAATGGTTACAGTCGTTAACAAAGTTAGAAATACTGTATCCAGTTTTGGTTATCCTACTAAACATCTGTATAACTTGGGATAATTTAGTAAATCTTCCTGGGACTCTATTTTCATCTCCATGAAGCATGAGTAACATTTCCTATGTAATTACTATACCCTGCGATTTTGTGAGGAATGATGTTTGAAACAAGCTAAGTTTCCTTTGGGATAAATAAAACTTCCTAAAAGATATTAGTATAAGCATATCTGAGTCTTTATCGTGCAGTCAGGATCCTAGGTGCCAGAGTTAGAAATCAAATTATGACTGTATTGTATAGACCAGGGTTTGGCAAACTTTTCTGAAAAGGGCAGATAGTAAATATTTGAGGCTTTGTGAGCCATATAATTTTTGTCATTGACTAATCCACTCTGCTGTTGTAGCATGAAAGCAGCCATAGACAATATGTAAACCAATGGGCATAGCTGTGTTCCAATACAATTTTATTTACTAAAAGATGCAGTGGACTGGATTTGGCTTGTGGGCCATATTGTGGCCCACAAGTGTAGACTTAAAAAAAAAAACAACTTGGTCCCAATAAAGTAAACTGATAATAAATTCTCTTTTTCTAATTTTTAGGTTGTTTTTGTTTTCATTTTTAAATTAAGGTATAATATACATACAGTAAAATTTACCCTTTTTTGGGTATAGTTCTCTAAGTTTTGAAAGATATTTACAATCATGTTAACTACTACCACAGTCAGTGTGTAAACCAGTTCCATCATCACAAGAAACTATGCCTGGGCCCCTTTGTAGTTGTCCCTTCCACCTACTCCTAGCTCCTGGTAACTTCTGATCTTTTTTCTATCCCTCTAGCTTTGCCTTTATAAGAATGTCATATAAATGGAATTATGAGTACGTAGTTTTTTGAATCTGCCTTCTTTCATTTCTAAGGCATTTGAGCTTCATCCCTGTTGTATCAGTATGTTACTCCTTTGTGTTGGTATGTTTTCATTGTATGAGTGTACCATGTACTGTAGTTTATTTGCCAGGTTAGGGATATTTGGGTTGTTCTAGTTTATGGTGATTACAAATAAAGTTGCTATAAACATTTGAGTACAGGCTTTTGTGGAAACATAGTTTTTCATTTCACTTGGATAGATACCTAGGAGTAGGATTGCTGGGTTACACAGTAAACATGAATAACTTTATAAGAAACGCCAGTCTATTTTCAAAAGTGGCTGGACCATTTTACATTCCCACCAACAATGTATTCCAGTTGCGCCATATCCTCACTAGCACTTGATGTCATTACTTTTTAAAAAAATTTTTACCCATTCTAATAAGTGTGTATAGGAGTTCCTGGGTAGTGCAAACAGTTATGTGCTCAATTCATAGTTGAAAAGTTGGTGGTTTGAACACACCCAGAGGTGCCTCGGGAGATAGGCCTGGCGATCTGCTTCTGAAAGGTCACTGCCTTGAAAACCTCATGAAGCAATTCTACTCGGCACACATGGGGTTGCCACGAGTTGAAATTGACTCAATGGCAACTAACAACAACTGTGTAGTGGTATCATGTTGTGGTTTTTAAATGTGGATGTTTGGCGTATTTCATGAGTTTATTTGCCATCTGAATATCTTCTTTTATGAAGTAACTATTGAAATCTTTTCCCCATTGTTTTATTGGGTTGTTTTCAGATTGTGTTTTGAGAGTTCTTTATAGTAGATACAAGTCCTTTGTCAGAGAAATGATTTGGAAGTACTTTCTCCCAGTCTGTAACTTGTTTTTTTTTAAATTAATAGTGTCTTTCAAAGAACAGATGTTCTTTTGATTAAGTCCAATTTATCACTTATTTTATGGATTATGCTTTTGCTGTCATATCTAAGAAATTTTCCCTAACCCAAGGTGACAAAGATTTTCTCCTGCGTCATCTTCTAAAAGTTTTATAGTTTTAGATTTTACGTTTGATCCCAAATATAATCTGTTTTGAGGTAATTTTTGTATATGGTGTGAGATAAGGATTGAGGGTAAGTTTTTTTTTTTTTTTTTTTTTTTAATACAAATAGCCAGCACCATTTGTGGAAAAAAATATCTTTCCTCTACTGAGTTTCCTTTGCATCTTAGTAAAAAAGCAGTTACCTATATATGTGGGGGCATATTTCTGAACTATCCACCCCATTTCGTTGATCTGTTTGTCTATCTTGACACCAATACTACACTGTGTTGACTACTGTAGCTTTATATATAGTCAGTCTAGGAGTCAGATATGAGTCCTCCAACTATGTTATCTTTCAAATGGTTTTGGTTATACTAGTTTCTCTGCATTTCCATATAAATTTTAGAATGATCCTGTCAATTTCTAAAAAAATCCTGCTGGGATTTTGATTGGGATTGTGTTGA